TCCTTTCTCCTTATCCATTTTGGGTAGAGAAGATGGATCCTTTCGGATTGTATCATTTCAGCTTCCTCTACCATGTAACTTAAACACATGGAAAGGGACATGTGGAAAGGATGCACCATGGTTAAATGGAAACAAAATGTTGGCATGAAATGTTAATTTGATCAGAAAGCGTGGACCATTTCCCTTGCTCTTATAATAAGGGTATCAGCTGCCTTGTACAACTGATTTGATAATATTTATAGCTGCGTCTAAAATGTGGAAAACATTTTTTAAAAACATAAAATGTTTGCTAATTCAGTATCATCATTAATTCCAGTTTGGGGAAAATTAAGCCCAAAAGGTTTAGGCATAGGGATGAAAGGTTCAGTATTATCTTTCAGACACATGATAGGGTTTAGTGAGATGAGTCATAGTCTCTCCACCAGTTGTTAATTTTATTGCTGTAAAATTACATCAAGTTTTTCCCATTTTTGCTTTATACTTGGAAGAAGTCTAGATTAAAATGCACTCAATACAAATTTGTTTTTATGTTTGTATGTCTCATCAAAAAAATTATTAGAAATCTATGATTTCTAACTGGCGGCAGCTATGCACCAGTCCAAGAAAGAAACAAAGATAACGGCATCTCATTTTGCAACCCCTTTTTGTGGTTTAACAGTTTGATAAACAGGATTTCCCCTGAAGTATATTAGACAGAACACACAGTGCTACAACTGGATTAAACTGAAAGCCTCGGCAAATAAGGATGGCAACACATAAAGATAGACATCTGGTTGGCTGCTAAGAATGACCGCTCCCCGCTTAAAACGGGGGGCGCCCTTTGCGTGGACGCGCGCAGCCCCTAGATCTGGAGCGGCTCCATCAGCATAGGCTTGGCTTTGCCTTCCCTCAGGTGGGATACCTGGAGGTCTCCGCCTACCTCAGTCAGTTGTCCAATCCCACCTGGGGGAAGCGTTGCCAAGGAGACCAGGCCAGGTAGGGGAGGGATTACCTGCCCACACAATAGAAGGAGGATCTTACCTCGGAATCCTCTTCCTTTAACAGTAGTTCCCCCATCCTCATAACACAATCAACTTAAACATTTCACAAGCAAAGCAATGCCTTACCCATAGATTTTTGGCCCCCAAGACATGGGCTGTTCGTGATTAAAGGGGTCCAAAGTGGCAGCTTGATCCATAGTCCTAGACTGGGCTTTGTTTTATTCTTCTGCATTCATGCAAGGATGTTACACAAGATGCCATGTCCCTCCCTGTATAAGGTTCTTTGCATCCCAGCTGAACTGCTTAGGTTTAAGACAAACTGACTGATAACTGCACCCTAAAGCAGACTTTCTCATACATTCTTCCGAGTTCAGTGAAATCTTCCAAGAAAGTGTGTGCAGGTTGAGTTTACTCAGAAGTAATTCTTGCTGAGTCCAAAGTGGCTTGCTCTCAGGTATGAATATGATTTCAAAAAGTTAACTCTCCCTCTCCCCCCATTTATCTACTGTCAAATCTGCATGATGTTTAAAAGCTGAAGTAAGAACCAAGTATTAGAGCTGCAATGGAATCCAAGCTTGAAGCACTGAGAATGCAATCAGGCAAATATCAGACATCGACACTACCATGGGGTGCGTTTTGGGGAAAGAGATAGTTATGAGAATGCACATGTCAGAGGAGCCCACAGCTCCCTACCTTTGGCCTCCCACACATGTAAAAGGATTGTCTACATGTGAGTGTAGTGTACCCTCAACTTCTTCAGTTGCCTTACTGCCTATCTAAGTATGCTTTTATTCATGTATGGAGGTCCTTTTATCTTGTGCTGGTCTATGATGGTAATAAAGATTTGGATTGCATACATGCAAGTGCACGTATCAATGCACTTCTATCAGCTATAAATGCTATCAATTCAGCTTTCCTTCTGTATCGATAGCTGGTTGAAGTAAGGGTGCCAAGGTGAAAAATATTGGAAGTGCAACAGCAGACATCATTCATTGCATAACTTAAAGGTTAATTATATTGCCAGTAAACTCGGTTATATATATTTGGTTTAATTCACACAGAAAATGGGAAAATGCCTGTGTATTAACAAAGGTTTAAAATGGGGGGAAAGCTAAATATGTATTGCTAACATGTGGCTTTTCCGCAATAGTCTTCTAAGCGGTTTCTGAGCTCTTTAATGAGTTGATAATTTACTAAGTGTTGTTTTCTGCTAGCTAACATGTGAGTGTTGTAACCTTTGATCATGTGATGAGGCTATTGAGTTGCAAATCGCTATCTTGAAAGGGTGGTGGGTTTAATCTTTCTCTGAACACCACAGAGAACAAAAGGGGGAGATAATGGCTCTCCAAAAGCTGCATAGCATAAGGCCAATGAAAGATGGAATGAAGCTTGTGGAGGAGAGACCCTTTTGGATTTTTGGAATTATATTTTATTTTGAAGATGCTGAGCCTGTGCTGGACAGCACAAGACATTGTATGGATGTTTTGGATGTATCATTTGATGTTTCTGTTTTGTTTTAGAGAATGAGCACTCACATGTTACATTGTGGGTGCCCTTTGCGGGATCATGTGTGGTGCTACAATTCCCAGGAAGCTTACTGGCAAACAGGGGCTGGCTTGCCTCTCAGTGTTAATTTTTGGAGGTTCACACCCAGCCTCAGTAATCAAGTTTATTGCTGGGAGGTGGGGCCAGCCCCATTTATAAATAGGGGGTGGAGCCGACAATAGCCAGGCAGTCGGCTCTGGAGATTCACCCTCCCTACCCTCCCTTTGTTTAATGTTTCTTGTTTGCAGGTTAACTTTTTCTTCCTGTTTAGCGGGCGCAGCTACGGTCTTTGACTGGTTGCTGTTGAAGGACATGGAAGAAATTTTCCTGCATTGACAGGTTTTGTCTTTCCCATAGCAATTCATCACCCCTTCGGCGGTTATGGCCTTGGGTGGAATAGCAATTCATCACCCCTTCGGCGGTTATGGCCTTGGGTGGAATCCTTTAGTCTTCTCTTCCCTATATGGGGGGGGGGTGTGAAGTGGTTATATATTTGGGTGCCACTGGCCATACACCGAAAGGTTGTTCGTGAACTACTCTGCGTGTGGGGGATATGGGCTTGGCTGCCTGCTACACTTACGTCTTGCAAAGCACCCGTATATCCCATTTACCTTGATGAGCCCCAGTTCCCCTTGACTGGGGGGCTGGGAGGGATACACGCCTAAGGCCTAAGCCAAGGTCTTCCTACATTCAGAAGTTTAATAAAGTTGTGGCCTAATTTTAATTCCATATAACATCATCTGAGTCTTTATTCCATTCCCTGGGGAATGGAGCTGTCGCCGCCTGGTCACGCAAAGTTCTGCAAGTAACAAAAAAGTACTATTTTTATGGGTCTGGACAATGATTTCTTCCAAAAGGAATCAGCTCTTATGCATCCAGTTGCTTCAAACTGTGCAATATTAATATCTGCAATAAAGCCATTTGCAAGAGGGTTAAAATAGCATGATATTTACTGAGGTAGCATGCATGAGAAGCTGTCTAGCTGTAAGGGTATTTTCTCGTGGCTATTTTATTGACTCTAACCCAGCTATCACGTCCTGCCAAAAAGACAAAACCTCTCTGTTTCTTTCTGCTCAAGTTGTATAACATTTTGTTCAGTAAAATTTTACCAGGATTTTGTCTCTGGACTCCATCTGCATTATTCAAGTGCTTTTGCTAAGAAAAAGCACAGGCAAGCCTCTTCCAACTTGAATAGATGTGTAGAAGAGGGAATTTCAGCAGGATGTAGCTCACTAGTAGAAGGCAGGATGTGCAAATAAATCAAGCCATTTTTAGCACTTTTTCCTGCTTCAGAAGTCCTTTAGCTTTAGCTGTAGCTTCCTGACTTGCTTACCCTTGCTTCATATAAAACTGTTCTGAAGGATTATCTGCCTGGGAAATCCGGAAAAATTTCTTTTTTTAAAAAAAAAGATATTTATTACTTTCCAACAATTTGAACATACATAGAAAAAGAAAATAAACAATACAATACAATACAAAAACAATACCTAACACTAAACTAACAGAAACAATTTAAACTAAAAAAACAAACAAAAACAATTTACACTAAGAAAACAAAACAAAAACAATTTAGAACACATCAAATAATTTCAATCTTTCATTCACTTATTTCCATGACCTCCTCACACCTCCCTTTTTGTATTCCACTTCTATTTAGTTGTTTGAGCAATTCCTTTCCCTCTTCCTCTGCTTTCCATCCTATAATTATCTTAACACATTTTAACCTTATTTTTCCCTTTAATTCTCTGTTAATCTATTTATACTTAATTCCTTATAACATTTCTACTGAAGCCGTATAACTTCATTCCAACATTTTTCTAACATTCATTAATTTTACAATATTTCTGTAAATAGTCTTTAAACTTTTTCCAATCTTCTTCCACCGACTCTTCTCCCTGGTCTCGGATTCTGCCAGTCATTTCCGCCAATTCCATGTAGTCCATCACCTTCATCTGACACTCTTCCAGGGTGGGTAAATCTTGAGCCTTCCAATACTTCGCGATGAGTATTCTTGCTGCTGTTGTAGCATACATAAAAAAAGTTCTATCCTTCTTTGGCACCAATTGGCTGACCATGCCCAGGAGAAAGGCCTCTGGTTTCTTCAGAAAGGTATATTTAAATACCTTTTTCATTTCATTATAAATCATCTCCCAGAATGTCTTAATCCTTGGGCATGTCCACCAAAGGTGAAAGAATGTGCCTTCAGTCTCATTACATTTCCAACATTTATTTTCGGGCAAATAGTAAATTTTTGCAAGCTTGACTGGTGTCATGTACCACCTATAAATCATTTTCATTAAGTTTTCTCTTAGGGCATTACATGCCGTAAATTTCATACCTGTGGTCCATAACTGTTCCCAGTCAGCCATCATTATATTATGTCCGACATCTTGTGCCCATTTAATCATAGCTGATTTCACCATTTCATCCTGGGTGTTCCATTTCAACAGCAAGTTATACATTTTTGACACATCACAGTGGGTAGCTAGTGACTCACCCTCCAGGTAAAGACATTTTTTCCGGATTTCGGAAAAATGTCCTCACCCTCCAGGTAAAGACTCCTCACCCTCCAGGTAAAGACATTTTTCCGAAATCCGGAAAAATGTCTTTACCTGGAGGGTGAGTCACTAGCTACCCACTGTGATGGACCTCCATCACCTCCTTCAGACAACCACCCTGATCATAAACATATTTACTTGGATTCATTTATTGCCAAGTTTAAAAATTGCTTAGGATGTATCCCAAATCCCTTGTATTATGAGCTGCTGTGGATAGTAATGTATGGCTATACAGTGCACAGATTGTGTAAAAGAAAGAGAAAAAACCCATACACCTGTGCATTACTTGCTTTAAATTGGATTTTTTTGGAGACAGTTAGAAAATGTTTGCAGACACGATCAGTTCTAGGCTTCAAGGTGTAGTCCAATTTCTTCCTAACTTGTTAATGTCAGTATCAAGTGCACTTTTAAAAATGAAATAACCCATCAACAAAAAAATAGAGAAATATCTGATTGGTGTAGAAACCTGTTTGATAGCTTGTGAATGAGCAAGTCAACATGGCCCAAGCTTATTAACAGAGACATATTATTTGGATTATGATACATATAGTTGAATTAAGTGCTCCTATTGCAAATCCCTTGCTCCCTTTCTTAACACAATCCCAGGGGAGGGGGTGGTCAAGAATCTCCATTTGCCTTTACTAATGTCTGAAGGTGAACAAGGAAACGTCCTATAAAACCTTGCAAGATCATGCACTCTAGAAGAATATTATTAGTTTTAATCATTTCTATAGCTCTGTTAATCTGCAGAGTGCAATTAGCCTTTGCAGTGCAGTTTGAAACAGTAAACAGCTATGTTTTAACAGTTAAAATGAACTTTTAGCGGAGGTGAAGAGACTAAAAGCATGCAAGCATTAAGGCTTCTGCATTTCAAACAATATTGACTGAAAAGCACATTTGTGGTTAAGATAATCTTCAACTGAGACATTTCTCAAAGATTCCTTCCAAGTAAAATACAACCTGAGGCAGTGGGATGTTTGTTTATGCTAATTGGAAGGTTGCCTACTGAACCTCAGCTTGGTTGTGTTATTGGAGATTAATGGTCAAATGATAATTTACCCGTCACTGAGCAAGCAAAAGTTGTAATTATATGTTTTGAAGGAGGATGGGATTATACCAGTACAATTGCTCATTAAACACTATGTGGTGGCCTTAAATTGTTAATGAATATACTTAGCTTATCTAATGTGTTGAATGTGTCAGATTCCCGTTGACTGCTGCTAAACAGCATGAACAGGAAGTGTACTTCTACTGCTCTAAAATCCCTTCTCCAGCATCATAAACTAAATTATATATCTTACCTTTCAGCTGTGCACTTGCTAACCCAGCACTGTGGTATCCGTGCAATGTGAAGCCATACTGCAGGGGTATGTGTGTAATACCCTAAACATATGGCAGAGGGGCTGGTTGTGTGGGTCTTTCCCACAGAATCATCACTCCACCAGGGGCCAATTCCATTTTTTAAAAACTCAGGCAATTAGCCTTGCCCACATGGTCATGTTAATACAGCATGAGAATTGTACGAGGCTGCTGTATAAAGCGAGATGAGCGCCGCAACCCCAGTCGGCCATGACTGGACCTAATGGTCAGATCGTCATGTGTGCACACGCCCCTACTCTGCAAGAGCATCCTTGCACCCAAACTAGAGAATTATTATATTTCTTATATTCCTAATCTCCATTTAGGCTGCCAGCTTCCCCAAATGTCTTGATTGCTGATCTCTGGACTCAGGAATGCATGGGCAGACCAGTCTAAAAGGCAGTGCTCCTATTCTATGAAACAGTGGGATATAAATTTTCAATGTTCAGTATCATATCGCACATAAAACTGATAGGGAATTAGAGAATTCTGTTTTCCTTTTAAAATGCTATAAATCTTTGTCTCTTCAGAGGGGATGGTGAACCTGCTCTCCTTCAGATATTGCTGGACTTCAGCTCCCATCATCCCTGATCATTGGCTGGGGAATTGGACAGCATTTGGAGGGCTACAGATTCCCCCCCGCCTCTCAAGTTGATCGTTGCTGAAAGTTGCCTTTGAAATTTTTGTGACAAGTTGATACTTTGCTATTAAGGAGAACAGATTCTGCCAAAGACGTATTTCTCAGGAAGTTGGCAAAGGGAAGCTGTTTTCATTTTCTGGAATTATCATGGATGTTTATGCTAACTTAACACTTGTTCTATCAGCTGCAATTAGAAGCATTACTGAACATGTAGTTCCTTTTCTGTTCTGGCTAGTGTGCTTACTTGGGAAGTACTTATCTGCTATCATTACCAATTTCCTTTTTTTTTCTACCAGCCCAAAATTTGTGCATGTTTCACAAGGCGTCACGATGCATTCTAATCTAAGGCACCTCAGAAAACAACATATGCGGTAGTAGTTGCTGTTGTTGGCAACCACCTGTCCCAAGAGACAATGGAGTGCGCCTCTAGGGGTGAAGTCAAACTGCTGCGTTAGCAGCACTGACGTGACCTCCCTAGGGTGCAGGCCTGGGCAGTGTGTATGGAAGTCCTGGTCTGTCCAGATGACAAGACCTCTATCCTGGCCTCATTGAAGTGGTCCAAAGCAAAGCAGAGGAATACATATGGTACTAGCTTGGCTGCAGTAGTTGATGAAAGAAGCATACAAGGCACCATACAATCACCTTAGAGATTCCACTCTGGATTTGTGTAATGTTTACTCATTAGCCTTTTCTTCTCCTGAAAATATCCCATAGAGTTTTCCTTCTCCTAGATTAGGGTTACCAGACGTCCCCGGTTCCTGGGGGCAGTCCCCAGATTTGCAAATCTGTCCCCAGGAAATGTGGCAGTGGCAGCCTCAGTAGCCCGGAGCCAGCCTAGTAGCGCAGTTGGCTGTGGCTGGCTTCAGAAGTTGCTCGCTGCCGTGGCACCTGCCATTTTTCCTCGCCGGAAGTCCCCATATGATGTGCCTTGTGCGCATATTATGGGTCTTGTGCGATCTCCTGCCCCCTTCCCCCCCTTGTTTTGACTGATTGGGGGAGGCTCGAGAGTCGCGGGTGAGCGGCCATTGCCCAATTTTTTAAAAACTCTGTGCATTTATGTTTCTCAGGGTGCGAAAGAAGGACTTTGCACCTTTATACATATGCATGTATGCTTGGGCCCAGGGTCTTTTGCCTCACTATCTCCACTACTGACTCCCTGTTGCTATTCAGCTTTAAAAAAAAGGGGAGAGTCCCCGGATTCATTGAAAAAATTATGGTAACCATATCCTAGATGGGCTACCTTCCCAAACTGATGAGCCCCACCTCCCCACATCGGCTTTCAATGTGTAACTCAATTCATGAGAAAATTGGGACAATGTAGGGCAGACTCTCACATTCCTAAGTTGGATTCCACAATTAACGAGGTGTTTTGAGATGGATTTGGGAGTTCTGTTGCTTTGTTTTTTCCAGAAAGTTAAATGCATGATTTTGCTGCCCGGGGATTGTGGGACCTGCAGCCCAAAACATCTGGAGGGCACCAGATTGGCGAACACTATTACAGACCATGTTTGAGGGTGTCAGCATGTGTTTATTCATAAACCACTTCTTTTCCATTACTGCATCCATCTGCATTATAAAAATAAATAAACAATCAAGACAAAATATGTGTATGTGTGTGTGAGAGAGAGTCCTTAAATATATTTTTTCTCGCTTTTTTATTTAAATGCATTTTGTTTGCAAAAATGCATTTTGTTACTGATTTTGTGTGCTGGGAACCACTACTGCAAAATCTGGAGAAGTGTAAAATCCAAGACATTATAATGATCTGATCTGTGCTTTAATCCTGGAGGCAAAGGTTGGATAAATTCATCTTGAAATTAGCAGAAATCAATTTCCCCAAGCATCCCTAATGCAAACGTTTCCCTATATCTATATAGGACAGCTATAGGGTGCCCAGATTGCATGCAATTTCCTAGAGCCATTTTTCTGAACACTGAGCTGCCAGCCTAGTTCCTCCTCTACAACACACAGAGAATGTCAGTAGATTTGGCATTCAACTGGCAATGGGAGGAGAGGCAAGAACTTTAATACAAAAGGAACCATTTGGGACCCCAGAGACAGTGGGTGTTGGTGCTGCTGACAAGAGTGACGGGTTCCATTTCTGTAAGCATTAGTCCTCTGGTCTCCAGAGTGCATAGAATAAGCAAAACCCCAAGGAGAACTGAAAGCACATACTGCCATGTGTGGGTTTAAATACAAAGCCAGGCTGAATGTAGCTTTGATGAAGGACCTAGGGAAACTGAATGGTGCCAATAATCCTGTAATGTAAACTGGTATGCCTTTCCTCCCCATCCCCACTTAACAGCTTCCTCAGTCCCCACCACCCTTATTTCATACCCTCCAAGGCAGGTTAACTCAGAAGTAAGGAGCTCCCATTTAGTTCAATGTGGTTTCAATTGGCATGGGGTGTGGGAGGCACACCCTCCAACATGCCTCAGATGAAAATGTCCCTACAGTGGTACATCGGGTTAAGTACTTAATTCGTTCCAGAGGTCTGTTCTTAACCTGAAACTGTTCTTAACCTGAAGCACCACTTTAGCTAATGGGGCCTCCTGCTGCCGCTGTGCCACCAGAGCACGATTTCTGTTCTCATCCTGAAGCAAAGTTCTTAACCTGAGGTACTATTTCTGGGTTAGCGGAGTCTGTAACCTGAAGCGTCTGTAACCGGAAGCGTATGTAACCCAAGGTACCACTGTATTTTCATCTGAGGGATGTTGAAAGGTATGGAATCAATGGATTATGAGAGCCTTCTCAAGAGTTTCACACAAAGTCTAAAATGCATTTGGGCTACCATTTTCTTGCTTTCCCTTGATTCTACTATATTTGTGTTGAAGGATATCACTCAGATTCCATCCTCTCAGTTATTTTTATACTTTGAATTAAATGTGCGCGTGCACACACCATAGCTGTCAACGTTTCCCTTTTTTGAAGGGAAATTCCCTTATTCCGAATAGGATTCCTCGCAAGAAAAGGGAAAAGCTGACAGCTATGGCACACACACACACACAACATCTCCAGAAAGATAAATGCAGGAAGCAGCCAAGGCTAAAGTTAGAATACGCTAATCTTTTTTTTAAAAAAAGA